GATAAATGAATATTTCCTGAGTACTCACATGAGTAACTGAGTACTCACTGAGTAACAATACTCAGAAATTGTTAGTAGTATCAATATGAGTACTCATGGACGAATTATGAGTAAAGTCGTACTCATCGTATGAGTACTTTAACTAGGGCAAGTAAAGATGAAACCAGACTTAGTGTGAAAAAATGAACACGATTATTCGAAACCGATAAATTTCATATTTGGATTTAGATTGTCCTATGAAAAATACATAGTCAATATCTATTCAAGTCGGAACATTCGACCGTTTTGTTGGAAACTGTTGGATTCGATTCGGAAGTTTTCAGGTTTGGTCAAGCTGCCGCTTAAATCGGGATGGATTCAGTCGATGAAGCGTCGGAATACAGTCGAATAGGTGTAAAAAGGAATCAGCGACTTTTGTGTATCGGATTTCGACGGACTCTATCATGATCTTCCAACAGAATAGATCGAATCTTATCTAGTATCCTGGCCTTAGAGGCAATTACTCAATTTTCTCGCATAAACCCGAAATAACATACCTAATCACTCTCACTCCATTATTTTTACTTCATTTCCCCTTACCATCCTTTATGTCTATCTGTTCATCTTTTTTAAACAAGAAATGTAGAATTATAAGAAAAAAGCATGCGACAAAAGTTTCTAGTATTATAGAATAGTTTCCTGTCTGTAAAAGAGAATTAATAGTAGGGTAAAAAGATCGAGTAATTATGTTTATAATACAGAATGAACTAAATTACATGGACTGAATATTTTTTAGCCATTGAGTGTTTTCAAATTGTCGATTTTGCCGATAATGAGACATTTATCTAACCAGACATGTAAAACGGTCAACGATGATTTTGTCATTTATAGCAAGAAGAGTTTTTGATCCTTTATTCATATATGTCTCTCCTATCCCGAGATAAACATTATTATATATGCTTCAATGTGTTACTTTTTCTTGCATTTGTTATCGAAGGTACATATATAAGAGTTGTTACATTTTTATCAGTTATTATTCGTAAAGAAAAAAAAGTGTGATTTATGACTTTTGTCAAACAATGCATAGTTCGTTTAGTTATAAAACTACTTAAGGTGGCGCCCCATCAGAAATTGATGATTTTCTTAGCAAAACCAAAATTAAGTTTATTGCTTATATTAGTTGGATATGCTGAAGTATCCTCTTTCAGAATGTGTGTAGCTGTTTTCAATAAAAAAAAATAGTTTTTTTGATGGGCTTTTGAGAAATTTTGGACTAAACCTAACTTCTACTACTACAGTGATTTTCAAACTTGTTGAACTTTTTCGCAGAATATGGTGTTGACACGGCAAAAATGCTGTTCCTCCTAGACGTTTCATCAGAATCTTTATTTGTTTTTTATTCTGACGCTGGAGCATAAGTTTAAAAATCTATGGACCAAATTTTTGAATTTCCCTTTCTGTTCTAAGAAAACTGAAAAATATTATCTCGGATTTTAGGGTTTTTTCGAAATTTTGACCTGAAATTTGTGCTAAAAATAAACGAAAGCGGAATTCACAAATCTGTTTCGTAGATTTTTAAATCTGAGTGCCTGCCTACTCACCCGTTTCTTTGTACTCTTTCTCAAAAAAGCATAAGCATTTTTGCTGAGACAATGATAATTCGGTAACGCTTCAATCTTTTGAACTCAAATTTTTAGCATAGCCTACTTCGATAGTAAGCATTAATATATGTACGTTTCATTAAAATTGTTTGTAGATCAAAAAGTATTTTACTAAGGAGCCCCCGTTAATTGACTAGTATAGCATTGTCTAAAAATTTCATCCACAATCGGTATATAAAGAGCACCTGAACTACGCGTGTATTTGTCAGACTGAAAATAGTAATGAACATATTTTATTAACAATCAATAATATCACAGCATAAATGCTCTGTTGGCAGTGAAAAAATATACAGTACTTTTAAAAAATAAAAGTGCTTTTAAAAAATTTAAAGAAAATCCTTCTCTCTCATTTTGACGTCATTGTTTTAATAAATTCTTCATAATTGATTTGTCCATTATTTTCTATACCCGCTTCACGCATCATTTCATATATTTGTTGATCTGGTTGTTGATTATTGTTGAATACACTCATTAAATGCATTAAATCATCAACCGATACTGTTCCTACACCTTTTCTATCCAAAAATCTAAAGCCTTCACGTATTTCCTCTTCATTTTCGATATCTTTCGATTTACGTTCCATTATATTTATAAAATCCAAACTACTTATTTTTCCATTCATGTCGACCCCAGCTGAACTTAACATTTCTCGCAATTCTGGATCACCTACATTTTGTCCCAATGATCGCATTATGCGGCGTAAATCATTTCCATCCACTAATCCGTCACCATCTCGATCAAACAAGACAAATGCTTCTTCGAATTCAAGACGACGATCTTCCTCCATTGCGGTGTCCATTGTGAGAATAACTAGAGTTTAACGTCGAATTATAGTAATACTAAAAGAAAATAATAGAAACGGTATGTTTTTGATTCAGCTTTACCGTAACGGCTAGGATCAATCCGAAAAAGGATTTGAATAGCTGAAAGAGCTTCCAGCCACGTGCAGTGTGTATAGAATTTCTATCGAAAGTACTACAAGTTAGAATTCTGAAAAACCCAAACTTTCAAAACCATATGGGTTCGGAATATGTTTGCAAAAGCTTCAGTCATGTAGAACAAACATTTTTGGACAAAATGATAGGTCCCCAAATCTTTCGTGGCGTTCTTTCATCAAACAGCATGCAATTTACAAAAGATATCAGTGCGTTAAAATCAGCGAAGTCAACAGAAATTAACCGTCGAGACCATATGTGAATTGCATGCTGTTTGATGAAAGAACGCCACGAAAGATTTGGGGACCTGTTGTTCTGTCCAAAAATGCTTGCCTTACATGACTGAAGCGTTTGCAAACATATTCCGAACCCATATGGTTTTGAAAGTTTGGGTTTTTCAGAAGTCTAACTTGTAGTGCTTTGGATAGAAATTCTATACACACTGCACGTGGCTGGAAGCTCTTTCAGCTATTCAAAACCTTTTTTGAATTGATCCTAGCTGTTACGGTAAAGCTGAATCAGAAATAAACCATTTTGTTTCTATTATTTTGTTTTAGTACTGTGTATCATAACGTGATGTGTACATACCTTTTAAAGCTTCTATCGACTAAAACTTCACAGAGCGGTTGCTCATGATGTTTCTCTCGTTGTAGAAGACAACATACTGAGTGTAGTTGGGAAGCTATACGTATGAGTCAAAGAACTGTTCATGCATGACAAATATTCATTTATCTTAGATAATAATACGGCCATATATGTCTCCCTCCTTTTATTGATCATACGAGCAGCAACGCTTTCACAATTCATACAATTGCTGTTGAATAATATGTTCAATCAGAAAACTTTTGGTGGATTAGCAGATTTAGATGTGAACGCTATACGACTTTCTTTTATTAATATATTTACTCGAAAAAAAAGATTAAAATCAAACTGGTATTGCAGTTCTGGGTAAAAATGCTAATTGATCAGCATTAAAATACAATCGTTTTGCTTCAGTTAAATATTTATCGCTAACTCTTAACCGTCGGAGTTGCGCAGTCCTTAGACGAGTGAGTTTTGCTTGTTTTTCATTAATTATATTTTGATCTTCAGTTTTCTGTGATCGATTTACCTTTAGTTTTGATAAATGTATCGGTACTGGTGGTACTGGATCAATAGCTGAATCAGATGATTTTGATGATACAAAACTTGTTCGTTTTGTCATTGATGAAGTTTTTCCGTCTGTGGAACGAACCATTGAAACGTGAGATAATCTTGATGACGATGGTTGTTTTTCTTTGGCATCAGAAGATTTGTTTTCGAAACGATATTCCAAATTTGGATTCAATTGCGCCATGGTTAATAATAATGGACTATTGGAACCATCGAAAATGGATGTTTCCGGCACATTTTTTTCTAAATGTTTTGGTGGCTTGGTGTTATTCTTATTTGATTTTTGCAATCTTTTATTGTAGGAGAATAACGCATCATTGAATTGAATTACAGGTAAATCTAGAGTATTTCGACATTTTATTTGCTTCTTTAATTTGTTTGTGTCATTATTCACAGTTGCTAAAAGGAGGAAAACATGCTTAAAATACCAAACTGTATATTCCAGTAATAATTAGTATGTACTTGTCAAAGATGGTACTGATTGAAAATTGGTTCGATGTATTGGCGGTAGAAAGTGACGCTCGTTCGGATATGATTTAGACGATTTTTCTATTTCTTGTTCTCTAGCAACGGATGTTGACCATCGAAATTGCAGATTATATCCAATTGGTTCAAGGGTCGTAATAGAATATTTCTTGTTTAAATGGATGTCCGGAAATTTCATACTTTTTTTCCTTGACAGTACCATTGTTTTTCTCAATTAATTGGGGATTTCAAGAATGAACTGTGTGGTCAAAACAAACCGTCACATATACGGTCGCTTAAAAAATGTAAGAGTAGTTAACACTTTAATCTGAAATATTCTTCTATTGTGCCATATGAGACTTATTTTTCTTTTCTTAATAAGAACTCTATATGCACTTAATTTCGAAAAGTAAGCGGGTGTTCATCGTCATTTATTTGCCTTTGCTATATATTTTATTTTAAAAAAAAAATAAGCGTTGTTTTCGTAGATTAAAAAAGTTGTTTTTTCATTCAAACGATGACATTTTTGTTGATTCTTCTACAAAAACATATATTTTGCATTCATCAACAACAACTAGACAAATAACCTGACATAATCGTAACTGTAATAAAAGAAACGGAAAAAATATCAAAATACATTCAATATTGTTACAATGCAGCAGTATAATTTTAAGAGATTGGGAATATTTACTGAAACCTTGCTTAATCAGATGTAAATATTGCAGAGTATACTTACGTCCAAGTGGTTTAGAGAACATTTTTTTCATGGCCTATTTTTTAAGCATGAGGCAAATCATTAACAGATGGCCTATGGTCTTGTCGGTACAAAATCAAAGCATAATAAAATACAAACGCTAACACAGAAAATTTTACAGGTACAGACACATAATATAGTTTATTTGTCCAGTTGACATTTGACTCATTTTTTGAGTGTTTATTACTTTACAAAAAAGTGACGCAAATGCGTCTAAGAAATCTAAATCATTCTTCTCATAAAGCGGAACAGATATACAGTTGTTGCAAAAAAGTGGTTTTCCAGAAACCTCGAAAAATGTCCAAAACTTTTTCTAAATGAGTCACAATTGTAGCCCGCGAAATTCCGATCAAAATGAGATATCTCCCAGCTCTGTATGACCTTTGTTTGCAAACTTACAGAATTTATAAGAAAAGCCCTAAACTCATTTTTCCGTTTTCTTTCTGTAGCTCTGACGAGGGAACCTCTCGAGGTGATAAAATGCTTTTTGCTCGAAATCTGGCGGGTTATAGGGTATCGACCGTGCTGATTCCGAATATGATCATGGGGGTGGTCTTTAGCCCTTCAAAGACCCGGTTTTCCTTCAGGCCAATTCCACGTCTTTCGCTCAGATGCGTACACACTTAAAAAATTCTAACATTCACATTAAACTGAAAATCAAGAACATCACAGGCGGTTCTTGTACATGGCAGACATGCTCTGACAAGTATAGACACATCTGCATGTCCATTTTTGCCTTTGTGGTAAAACCATTTAAATTTAGAAAAACTAGTAGAGATCCAAGAAAAAACTACAGTTCCGACTTCACCCAAAACAAAAGTCTGGTTTTGTTCACTCAGTCAGGAGCAACACTTCATATACACGTTGAGAGATTACGAACTAAGGATCGGCACGAGCACGAAAATTCCTGTGGCTGTGGAATCACGGTCAAACATCCTAGATAGCGGCTTGTCAAAAGGTAACGCTGTGACATTTCGACACAGTAATTTGCATTTTTCTCTAGCTCGGAGCTAGGAAGTTTGTTCTGGCGCCATTCAACGCAGCTCACCAAACTCTACTTCCGATATAAAAATGAAGATTTTCGGTTCAAGAATCGAACTTCCAGAAAGATTTTTCGGCGAGTAACGCTGTGACACAAAAGGTCCCTATTTTTTGAGAACTCCTGATACAGTTCTGATTTCCTGCTAGTTGAGCTGTGCATCTGAAAAGTTTCTAGAGACAAGCTTGTAGAGGAGTTAACGGGCTTTCTTTTAGTAGAACAAAACTTTTTTCCAAACCCTTCCGCACGCCTAGAAAAGTCGATTTTGTAAAGTAACACTGTGACATTTTTGGTAACGCTGCGACACCCTTTTTTATCACACCATTTTTAGGCACTAAACGTTGTTCAAAAAACTTCATACTTATAGTCTGTGTAGTCCTAGGTTTCCTGAAAAGACTCCAGTTGAAAATAAAGTTCGAAAAATTCTCTGAGGCTTTACACCAAGGCAGAAGTTGAAACGTTCAAGCAGCCACTGCGTCTCGACTGAAGACACGTCAAAGAAAATGAGCCATTTTGTAGAGAATTGAATTCTCTATTTAATGGTATGTTTTTAAAATTTTTTGAACAAAATGTCCAGGTCAGAAAATTGAAATTAAAATTTTTATATTGAAAATGAATTTTTTCTTCAAGAAAAAAGTAAGTGAGATTCGTGATCAGCATGAAAAGCTGCGTCTAGTGGTGCCCCTATCGATTTTACGATGAAAAAAATTCAAAAAAAAGTTGATTAGCGAAGTGTCGCGTTACGTGGACAAGCCGATATGATTAAAATATAGAGATTAAAAAATAGAGATTAAAATATTTTTTGATTGCGTTTAAACAGGAAGTGAGACAAAAATTGTTATAGGCAGAAATATCCCTATTTTATTTTATTAGTCAATCTTGTTCCATCGATTTTATTATTTAACATAAAACTAACATAAAATGTTATGTCCAGAGCAGGTGCGAGTACTTGTGAGTACTTGATGTTGTGAAAGCAACAGCGTTGTAATTTGTTGAGCAAAATATGCATTCACTTTATAGAGCATCAAAACCTTCGTCGAATGAGGCTTATGAATGCATATTTTGCTCTACATATTACAACGTTGTTGCTTTCACAACATCAAGTATTCACAAGTATGCATACCTGATCTGCTTAAATCATGCTTGTTTCTATCAGTGAATGCTGATCTGTGTGCTCCCTCGCCCTCAACCACTGCAGTGGGTCAAATAAGTAACATTTAACATAAAACCATGAATCTCATAGCAATGCTTGCTTTCAAATTTAAAAGCCTAGTAAATACTTATATTAGAAGAAATAACCCGTGTTCGGCTATTTTCATGCAAGATTAAAACATTCGTAATTGACTCAAAATCGGGTCAGACTACTTCGAGAGTGCAAAGTCTTCTGTATTTTAGTTACTTCACAGGATCGTACACTTCAGAGTACGAAAAGGACCTATAGGCACTTCCACAGATTTTGAAACAACAGTTTAATAAGATATAAGGCCTTTTCTCTGATTTTTTTCAAACAGGACCGTTTTTTGTAAATCATGTTCAAGCGCCTATGATATTCATGTAGCAGGGTATTCGCACAGATACCGAAGATAAATGCAAGGACTCGGGCACATCGTCAGGTACATTCACTAGGGTAGAGTTCGTTGAACTGTACAACACTGATTACAGGAGAAAGATGAAACAATTCATCCTTGATTTTACAGAACTTTTTCTGTATTCTTGCTTATGACTGATCAATTTTCACGCGTGTTCACTCACTACAATTGTATGGTCATAGATGAACACACGTGAAAACTTATTTGCTGTTTGTGGACACGGTATTAAATTATCTTCCTACGTGTGTAAACTCGTTGCACTAAAATTGTAATATTTAAAACGTATTCCACATGAACTAACAAGTGACTATACAACTATACTTTGTCTGAACTTCTCTTCTCTCTCGCTGCGAATTTGTCGTTTTGTGCGAAAATGATACTGAACATCGAACAGTAGATGGACAAAACTCTGAGAATTTCCCAAAAAACGATGATCAAGGCAAGATAGATGAGGATGACAAAAGTGACGATGCAAGTTTCACCCTCCAAATAGCCGAGAATGAATAAAAAAACATTCTGAGTAGGTTTCTATTTTTTGACTGTATGTAGAATAGCAAAAAATTTGACTGTTTGTTGTACTACTGTTATTTTTGTTTTATTTTTTTGTAGTTCTGTGTATCTTTTAATGCACGTCAACTTTGTTTTCTACTTTTTTTTTGTATGACAGTAATCAGAAACAGATAAAAACTAAAGAATAAAGCCATCTCAGTTAAGCTGACTAAAAAAAACACGCCGAAGTTTTTCCTATCCACGTCTGTTCGCGCAAATAAAATTATCTTCAACGGTTGTTCACGAGTTTACTATTAGTTTAGTTACTACTAGTTTTATTTTACGTCTTTACTCGTTGCACTCAGTGAACATGCTTGAAATAGTGTGTTCACGTGTACTCGTACTCCGCGATTTCACTACTAAAAAGGAAGAGTTGCTTGTCGGCATGCTATGGAACATTTTTCATAGGAGGACGCAAGCATTGAATCCATCTGCATGGTGTTCGCGCGTAGGGGTTTGTTTCCACGGATGGTAACAGTAGAAAGAAGATTTACTTAAAACTTTCACCAGTAGGAAGTTTTGTGTCACGCAGCGATGGGCGAGTCACTGCTTTTTCGAGTCCGAGCCAACAGCCTTCGAGTCGAGGTCCGAATCGCGTCAAAAATTGACTCGAGTCACTTCGAGTCAATTTCTAGAGGAAAACTTCCTGTGATTCATTTTTCCGCGACAGGTCTTCAATCCTCTCCTGTGACACAAGGTTCTACTTAGAATGTTCTCAAATCTCTCCCTCTTCTGGTATATAAAAAATATAATAAACACCGTCATAACAATCCCAAGTTGCGCATGATTGACTCGAAAGTGACTCGAGTCAGTTTATCAAGTTTATCGAGTCTTTTAGCTCGAGCCCGAATGACAGAAAAATCGGACTCGAGGCCCCTCGAGTCCGGGTCACGACTTGGACTCACCCATCTGTGGTGTCACGTGCGGTGACAATGTAACTAACTGAAACAATGCGCGTTCGCCCTTTAATTAAATGCTTCATCTGTGTCAACGATCAATCGCTTATCCTCTCAAGTGTGAACACAAACAATAACTGATTTTCAAGAGTTGCCACAAGTGATGACATGAATTTACTTCATTTTCGCACGTGAAAGGAAGTGTGTCACCCGTGTTCACTAGTTAAAATTTGAAAAAGTAGTGATTTGTGCATTAACACTTATAAGAATGTTGTTACACTCGGGATCACGTTAAATGATAATACCTCACGCGTATTTCGGTATACAAAATTATCTTCCACGCTCGTTCACGAGATAAGGAAGTATTTCACG